CTTGCCTGAAGCACTCACTATTTCCTGAGCACCTGTCCTCAAGGGTGGGGCCAAGACTGGACACTGGTCAGTTTAATGGGAGGTAGGGACAGATAGTCAGGATGGAGGAGGGAAGGATGGCCATACCAGAGACTAGCGGTCACCAAATGATCTCACAGTGGTCCCTGCCCCTGGGGACCTGGCTTTGAAAAGCAGATGGGCCTAAGAGACCCCAGTCAATCAGAGACCCAGGAAACAGAAAGCTCTGGCCTGGGTAGCCACAAAAGAGCAGGTTATCAAAATGGGGTCCCAGGACCAGAAGCATTAGCATCACCTGAAAATGTGCCAGAATTGTAAATTCTAGACTTATAGGAATTTACAGACCCACTCAATGAGAAACCCTGGGTGGGGGTGGGGGACAGTAAACTGTTCTAACAATCCTGATTCCGACACCCACCTGACTTAAGAACCACTGTCTGAGAGACAGGGCATCAAAATCATCATACATTTAAAACATATATATTGATGCCTAAGCCTCTCCCCAAAGACTCAGGTGCAACGGTATTTTTTAAGAGCTCCCCAGGTCATCCTAATACCCAGCCAGAAGTGCAGTCAGATGGAGCAGTTCCCTGGAAGGGTATGCCTACAGGGACAGAGGATGGAGGGAAGCAGAGGAGAGACTGTCAAGAGAAGGGACCAGCACGAACAAGGGCTAGGAGGAGGGAATATGGTCCTTGGGTTTCCAGAGAGCCTGTTGGAATTCCTGGATTAATCTCATGGCAGCCCATTTGACTGTGGGACCCCACTGTGTAGACAGGAGCCTAGAAGGCGGCCTGGCACCCAGGAAGATGGACAAGGGTGGGATGGCCGGAGCTCACTTTTCTTCCTCCTTAAGAGACAGTAAAGAAAGCTGATGATGACTCTGCCTCTTGCTTCTGTCCCCTTGGTTGCCACCTGCTCTCACCCATTGCTCCATAGGCAACAAAGCACTTCCTGTAGGCCTGATGATAAGTCCCAGATCCAGCCTTATGGCTGAGATCTTATCTCTGCCTTGGTGACACTGCAGACAAGGAGATCCATATGTATCTCTGGTGCAGAGTGCAGGAGGGCCAGGCAACACAAGGGCAAGGGAGGGCCTCTGGTCAGGAGTCAGTAGTAAGTGACCGGGCCCGATGCACTCCAAGAAGTCCCAAGGGGCAGGGCAGGGCAGAGCAGGGCAGGGGTGGTCGAGATGCTGCAGGCCTGATCAGATCTGCTATGCTGTCGGCTGTGGTGACCAGGCTGGGTGTGTTACCACGGGGAGTGCTGGGGACTGTGGCCACGGAGTCTGCAAAGCCCCACTGAAGGCACTTTGCTTGAGGATCTTAGACCCACGAGGGAGGCCTGTTTGCAACCCACAGGTCTTTATTTCTCCCCTAGAGCTCTCTATGACTACTTCCTCACCTGGAAATGAGAAAGAAAGAAGTTAAAGGAGTTAATTATGATAACGTGTTTTTGAGCCCGGCAGGGCTCTAGGTGCAGTAAAGGCAGTGAGCACCAACACACTCAGCCCTCCTGGCAGCAGGGTGTGAGGGCACTACCATACTCCCCGCTTTCTAGGTGTGGAAACTGAGCACAGTGCGGGTGAGCGGCTGGCCCAGGGCCACACAGCTAGCCAGTGGCAGAGCTGAGATTCCACACCAGGCGGCCTGGCCCTGGAGCCCATGCTCTCGACCACCCCCCGACTTGGGGACACTTAGCCCGGCGCTCAGTACCTGGTGGCAATGGCTCTGTCCCAAGAAAAACTGGCTGATGGCTCCATGGGAGCCAGCTTACAGCGAAAGCGCTACGGGGTGGACTTGGGCAGCCCTCCACCTCCCCCGCATCTCACACCCCACCCTTTCTGAAGCATCTCCTATCTGGGTGCTTTGGCCACAGATGGGCAGAAGGCTCATGCTGGAGGGGACCCCACCAGTGATAGAGGCTCACAGATATGGAAACAGAGGCTAGGGAGACGGACTGGCCGCAGCCACATGGCCTGTCAACACGGGGTCTCCTGGGTTCTTCTCAGGACTTTTTGCTGCCATCAGTTCTCATCCAAGTACTTTCCTGGCTGTTTCTCCTCATCTGATTAAACAAGTGCCTACTGCGGGCTGCACCGTAAGGGCATGTTTGAGGTAGCCAAGGAGACCCAGGAAGCCTTGTCTGAACCCATCTCCTCCCCCAGCCAGGCCCAAGAGTTCTCTCCAGGGGCCCTTCAGTCACCCGGGTCAGCAGCTCAGAAGAGCAGCCAGGAGACAGGTGTGCCCTGGAGAAGGGGCTTCAGCAAGTCCCATCACTGCTCAGAGCCGGAGACCCCGATGGGGAAAAGAAGGTTCCTGTCACACCACATCCCGGCCTTTTAAGGGAGAACTGCTGGGAGCCCTGAAGTGGTCTTCTGCAGGGACAGAGAACATGGATTTGGGACTCAGTTGGGCCTGGGTTAGAATCCCTACCATTTCCAGGCTGTGTGACTTCAGGCAACTATAGTTTATGACTAAATTTTCTTATAATACTGCTCTATTACAGCATAGAGTAGATGCATATTCTATTAATATTACTTTTACATACTTATAGACATGCGTGTACACAATTCATCCACATACATGTATCTAGATGCCCACGATCTCATAACCACACACACAAACTCCCATCAATCACACACACCCCACACTGAGATACAGAGCAGCATCTGGACTCACCATGTACCAGGCACCTCACTCCTCACAGCTGCCTGTGACGTGTGTGCATTTTTACCTCTCTTTTCAGACGTGGATACATACATCATATGCAAAAACACCCACTGTGTCCTGGGATGTGGACACTGCTGGCAGCTCCGGGAACCCTGAACCCCCCTCCTGCTCTGTATCAGAGGAGGCCAAACCAATTTCCACGGTCATCTCCAGGGCAGCCCCAAGCTGGGCCCCAAGTGCTGACTGCCCTCCATCCCTAGGACAAAGGCTCAACCTGGCTTGCATACCAGCTGCGGTTGGGGAAACCCCATTGCCTGCAGAAACCAAGTTGACTTTGAAAAGGAAGAGACAGAAGCCAGGGGGTGGCTAGGCCACTCCTGTGGGGGCAGGTGCTAAGTAACTCCATAAACTCTGGCTAATGATGCAATTACAACCATAAACAGAACCCCAGGAGGGATGGGGCCAGAAACCAGACCCTCAAAGGGCAGCCAGTCTTGAGGGGTGGGAAGCCCCTCCCACCTGCTTTCCAGCTGAGAGGTGGAAGGGAGGCCTCACTGGCCCTGGGGTGAGTGCTGGGGACCCCCATCATCCCTGAGCACTGGATGGGCTCCTGCGTGCCCTGGCCCACCCTCCTACCCACCTCCGACTGTGAGTTACCAGGCCATCAGCCCTCAGAAGCCCAGGGGCTCTCCCGGGACTGAGTGGTCACCAGAGGAGATGCCCCCAACCATTGCACCCTTTCCACAGAACACAGAATCAGGGAACCTGGGCTCCCATTGGGCTGCACCTCAGAGAGCTGAGCTGAGGGCAAAATAGCACTGCAGCTGTAACAGGCCTCGTAAACTGTAAGCAACGTTGGCTGCGCTCCCAGACAAGCAGAGCACACAGTCACCCTAAACAGCTCTTCGTTTCCATTGCCTGGTTCCCGACTCTTCTGCCTCAGAAGCCAGGAGGCAGGCAGAATGAAGGGGTCTGTGTGAGTTGCCATTTTCCCCATGGCTGGGGAAACTGAGGCAAGATCCAGGCACACCTCAGGCTACCAGGTAGGGCTCTGGAGGCAGCCAGCCCTTCCCCCCGCCTGCCTCTTCTGGCCTGCCTTTAACTCTTGCCGGCTGTCTCTCTCCCAGACTGTGATCTCCCTGAGGGCAGGGCCTGGGGGCTGTCTCTCAGGCTGGGCATAGAGAAGGCCTCAGAGGGAGCAAGTCTACGAACCAAGAACTGCGTTCTGCTTTGAGGACACCCACACGAGACCAGCCCCCCACCTTCCCCTCCACCCCCAGTTGCCCAAGAGTGCCAGGTCTTGGGCGGGTGGAATCTCAGCCATCAGTGTTCTGAACCCACATCCCAGAGGCGTCACTGGGGACCAGCCTTGTCCCATTCCGGCTCAACTAAGCACCCCCCACTCAAGGGTTAACGATCACTATCACAAGGATTAACTAGCACTTTCCCGGAGAACGCTAAGCCAAAGCGCTCAAGTTTGGTCCAGGAACTGTTTGCGCATAACCACCCCCAGAACACACGCGCGTGAGGTCGACGACAGGGGTGGGCGCGGCATCGGAGAAGGACTCAGCGGTGAGGGGTTGGCCCGATGAGGAAGGGTGGCGGAGCCCAGGGCGGATGAGCCCCGCCCCCGGCGCCCTCCCTCCACCACCACCACCACCCCGCCTCCCTCCCTCCCCCTGCGAGCCGGGCCGGGGAGCGCCGGGCGGCTGCGGCGCGAACCTGCTCGCGCAACCCTGAGCAGCTCTGGGCAGCTGTGCGTGAAGCCAGAACTCCGGGCGGGAGGGAGCCGAGGGGCGGGGAGCCGAGCTGGCATCAGCCCGCTCCCTTCGAGAAGGCGAGCGCACTCGCCGCTTCCGCCGAATAGCTGATCGGGGTACCGGGGGCGGGCGGGGACGGCGGAGAAGTGCTGACTTAGGGGTGGGAGAGCCTGGGGTTGGGAGGTGCAGACTCACGGAATCGGGGGAAGGGGGCGTGTTTTCCGGGATTCGGGACCGGGAAGGAGGGGGGATACTCTGGGGGCGGGTAGATGGCTGGGAGCTGCAGGGAAGGCAGGAGTGGTGTGCTCTGGGGTTGTTCCCTAACGTCGTGGAATAATGCAAGGGGGAGAAAAAGACTGCTCTCGGGCACACCGGGGGACGCGGGTTGGAGCGGCTTCTTCAAGAGACCGAGGGGAAGGGAGGGAAGGATGGTACTTCCACCCGGCCCCCCCTCAGCAGCCCGGCCCCCGGGGCGTGGCGCCGCTCCGGCCCGCCCACTCCCCGGGACCATCCAGGCAGGGCCTGGCCCCGCTGGACTCGGCCCCCGCACACTCCCTACCTCCCGCGCCCTCCCCCGTGCCACCCGCCGCCCCAGCCGCGTCCGGTGGAGAAGAAGCGGGCGCAGGGCCCACACGCCCTCAAAACTTCTTGCAAGTTCACTCCCACGACTCCCGCCCCTTCGACTTCCAGCTCCCGGGCCGGGAAGGCCCATGCCCGCCACGGCCCCTCCCGCCTGGTTACATAAGGTCGCGGAGAAGCCGCCCCCCGGCCCGAGCCTGAAGGGAGGGGCTGGAGGGGCTCCCAAGCTCCGCGGGCAGCGCCGCCCCGGCCATGCGCCGGACGAGCCGGGCCGGCTAGACGGACGGCGGGGCGGGTGGCAGTGCGGCGCACACGATCTCGCTCCCCTTTCCAGTCAACACCCCCACCCAGCCACCCACCTGTCTCGCGGACCCACGGTATCGGAGCAGCGGAACCTGGGTCAGGAGTTCCGGGCCCTCCGCGCACCCCTTGCCCCCCGGTCCCGCTCACCTAGCTATGAAGGTCAATCCGTCCGCCGCCCGCGCCCCGCGACTCCGGCAACTTGTCCCAAGTTCAGGTGTCGGGCCCGAGAGCTGCGCCGGCCGCCCCCTCCCGGGCTCCTCCGGCTCCGCGCCACAGGGGAGGCCCGCCCCCGTCCGCCCTGCCCTCTGCCGTCGGCGCCGCCGCCGCTCCCTACGTCCAGCCCGCGGCCGCCGCCTCCGCTGTCACCGAGCCCCGCGCCCGGCGCCGGGGCTCCTGCTGTCACTCGGCACTCACTTCCCGCCGCGCCCGGCAGAGGGCAGCACCCTACCCCGCGGCCCCGCCCCTCCCGGCTCCGCCCCGCCCCGCCCTACTGTCTGTCTGCCTGCTGCAGAGCCCGCTGGGAAACGTAGTCCTCCCCTCTGGGCGACGGCTCTGCTAGGCACGTCGGGATTTGTAGTCCCAGCCTGTGGGCTCAGGCCTGTGCTGGGACTTGGCGTTTAATTTGGAAACTTTGCTCCATTTGGTTTCTACCCCTTTTGCAAGTTTTCTGTTTTCAGGAAGTAATGTCACGAACCACAGATCATCACAATATACCCTGTGGCCTATTTGACCCCAATGAGAGGCATGCAGTGTGCTGGCTTTCCTGGAGTCTAGGAAAGAGGTAGGGTCCCAGATGGTGTGCTGTTGCCGTAGAAACCCCTCTGTGTCAAACCTCATCCTCCTGGTTTGGAATGGGGTACCAGACCTGGATCTTGAGCATAAGGGACAAGGTTGATCAGCATGGTGAAGGAAATATGACTATAAAATGGAGCCTACCTCCTCTCCCATCATCAGTTCTCCATTTAGCCCTCCCCACCTAGACCTCATTAGCTGGAGCTTGCAGGTACACCACCACCATGTTGCTGAACAGAGAAACTTCCTGACCTTTTCATGTCACCCTCCCCTGCTGGATGTCACAAGATGCTCTGGTGGCATCAGGTGATGTCTCCCTAAAGGACATACAACTGTTACAATGTGCATTGTCCTCCAGCCTTCTTCTGAAAGCTCCTAATGCAAACTTGATCACTGATAAGGAGGAATAAGCCTAGATTTAAGACACATGGGACCCCTAGTCACACTGCTAGTAATATGTGTGGGTAACTCTGGTGGTAGTTTGGTAAATTAAGTCAGCAGAGCATTTTGGATTGTCCCTTACAAAGGAATGCCCTGCCTGCATGCCACTACCACTCTTTTCCCTCTCCAGAGAGAAGCTGTGAAGAGACTCCAAGCTTTGAGGGGTACAGGGCCCACCCCCAAGCCTACCTCGTGCCCTATTTCTCTTAGAATCTCTGTGACCCACCACGAACCTCCTAGAAACTCAGGGACAACATGGTCCAGTAGAGGCAAAGTTGCCTCTGACTCTTATTATCCCATTCCCTGAGCCTTACAAGGCTACGACTGCCCTCTAAAAACAACAGGATGGCCAATGTGGAGAAGAGCTGTTTATTGTTAGAGAAAGTCCAGAGTCCAGAGAAGGGAGGCTAAATGCAGAGAGGAAGTGCAGAGAGAACCCCCTGTAGGGTGGAGTGTCCAGAGGGAGAAGGAAGCCCGGGAGACAAGGCACTGAGTCTAGGCGGCCGTGGCGAAGCCCACCCTGTTGTTGCCCAGGTCGTAGACGGAATAGTATGACCTGAGAAAGACGTCCCCGAGGATCCACAGGGGCTGGCCATTCTGGGAGGGTAGGTAGGTGACCTCCACCCCCAGGATGCAGTAGCTGTCGTCATTCTGCACAACACACAAGGGCAACACTCATTCATCAGCTCACAGGTGGACAGGGCACTGCTCAGCCCAGAGCCCCAGGCCAGCAGCACAGATACAGAAAAGGATGAGCCAGGGTTTCTACCCTTGAGGCCTCACAGGCCAACTGAGCTGCCAGAGCGGGGCTGACTGGGGATTCTAGTGTGGCTGAGGGCAGCTTGCAAGGGCACTCCCTCTGCAGGATCTCCTCAACTGCTGGTAGTAAAGCCTTGAAGCCAGATCAGCTTAGGTTCAAACCTTCGCTTCACCCCGACTAACTGTGTAGCCAATGAGTTAACCTCTCGGAACCTCCAAGTTTTTACTTGTAAAATAAAAATTCATATCTCCCTCATTAAATGTTATGACGAGTCATCAGGAAAATGTAGACGAAGTGCTTCACTTGGTGGCTGACTCTTGTAAGTGCTCAACAGAGAGCCAGTGACTCTCCCCCTTAATTAATAATAATTATTAATACTAGATGATTGCTCTGCTCTTTCATAGCCTGGTTCCAGAGAAGGGGGTTTAAAATCCATGAGAGGGGAACAGAAATCAATGCTGCAGGAAATGGCACAGTTAAGGGGACCGAGTGTTTTTGGCTCCTCACAGCTTCCTCCCATCCATCACCCACCTCCATCCCTGATCTTGTGCCCACTGGCTCAGCCTGCAGGAACCAGGACTTACATTGAGGATGTAGGAGGCAGGTGGCAGAGGGAACTGCACGCCATTGATGACAAAGGTGAGGGTGGGCAGGTTCTGGATGTTGTTACAGTCCACAGGAAACTGCAGAGAGGAACAGCGCCCGGGTTGCCTCATCTCCCCTCTGAGAGGACCTGCCAACCCCATCACTGCAGCCCCTGGGGTCCTGGGCCCGAGCCCCCAAGTCTGCTCTTGGACTGGAGGCTGCAACATCAATACTGCTGGTGTTACCCATGAGGACTTGCAAACAGAAGCTCCAAGTTTTAGAAGCTGCTGTACAGATGGTAGGTTGTCAGGGGACCTGAGTCACCTATCTCAAAACATGCCTCTTTCTTGAATATCCCCCATGAAAGTTTAAATCTACGCCCCTTCTCTGCAAGTGTCCTTCTAAAACAGGTCTGATACACTACTATGTGTAAAATAGATGGCTGATGGGAAGCTGCTATACAGCACAAGGTGTTCGGCTGGGTGCTCCGTGATGACTAGAGGGGTGGAATGGCGGTGGCTGGGTGGGAGGTCAAAGAGGGAGGGGATGGATATATGTACGCCTCTAACTGATTCTCTTCACTGGACAGCTTTACACAGCATTGTAAAGCATCTATATCCCAATAAAAATTAAAATAATAAATAAATAAAATACACAGTTCTGTACAAAGTATAGTTCATCAGCCCACCAAAGTTAGTGAGAATACCTTAATTATGCAAACCCTTTGGTAGGCTCAGGAGGGGGTAAGGATGGGGGCAGGGCCTTGCCCCATCCACCTCCCAAGGTGGAGGTGAGGGAGCTCTGGATTCAAGAGTTATTCCTTGTTGCTGTCTGGCTTGGTCCCACATTCTAATTATTTAGCTCTTACTGCAAAGCCAAGCAGGTGTTTAACCTGTTTCCTCTAAGTGGTTGAAGCTCAGAGGAACTTCTGCCTATTAGTGACCTCCCATACCAGCACAGGCATCTGGCCCCCCTGAATCAGCCTTCCAACCCCCAGCCAGCCCCCGCCCCAGTCACCTGGGGCCCCCACCTTCAGTGCCGGGAGTCAGCGAGAAACACCGAGGCCAAGAATCAGGCTATTCCTGTGCTCCCAGGAAAAACCATAAATGCCTCCTGGTCTCTCCCAGGGAAGGGGCACGCCTCCGCTGCATGCACCTGTCCATACTGGTCCTCCTGGGCCCCCGTGGCCTGCAGAAGGGCACTCAGGAACTGCTGGGGCACCGTGAGCAGAGATGTGCCGGTGTCCACGATGGCCTGGCAGCCTGAGGAGCACCAGCCTGTGGCCTGGTCACCAATGAGGAACCTGAATAGTGAGAAGATGGGCAGTCTCAGCACCTCCCAGCTTAGGGCAGCTAAGGGATGGGCCGCAGTTACCGAATCAAAGTGCACCTCAGGAAGATAAGGATTCTACAGAGGTCAATCCAACCATCCCCCAGCCTCATAACAGAGTCTGTCCAAGTCCTCCTGAATGGCCATGTTTTCTGTTTCTAAAAAGTTCCACAGATAGTTCTAGAAAGACTGATGGCCAGGGCTATTGATTCGTTGTAAATACTTTGAGTAAATTAGTCCCTCCCCCCACACACCCCAGTTTCTAATCTCTAAGCCCCTAAGGTTGGATGACAGGGTCTGAAATGTCTGGGATTCCAGACCCTGCCTCTTCCTGTGTTGTCTCTACCTCACCCACCTTCTCCAGGCCGACCAGGGTCTTGAAACCCCAAGACCTGGATGTGTGTGTGCGACATCCTGCCCGAATGAAGTGCCCACACCCCTGGGGCCCACCGCAGACTCACTCCTCAACGCCAATCTGCCAGTACAGCTCCTGACTGACAGGGGCCCAGAAGATCTGCCCCGTGTACAGGCTGCTGTCCACACCCCCGAAGATGACTGCTCCTCCGTCATGAGAGCCCTGTTGGCTGCAGAATGTAAAGCGAAAGGCAAGTCAGGAAGTGGCTGTGGGTAAGGCAGGAAAGTAGAAGTCCTGCCCTGGCTCCAGACTCAGGCTCCCTGAGGATAGGACTGAGTCTCCCTTCAGACTGGGGCTCCCTGAAGGCAGGGCTGTATCTCCCCTCAGACTGGGGCTGAGGCGGGGCCGTATCTCCCCTCAGACTGGGGCACCTGAGGCGGGGCTGTGTCTCCCCTCAGACTGGGGCTCCCTGAGGCGGGACTGTGTCTCCCCTCAAACTGGGGCTCCCTGAGGCGGGACTGTGTCTCCCCTCAGACTGGGGCTCCCTAAGGGCAGACGTTGTATCTCC